TTTTTACGTGTTAACGTATCCACACTTTACCTTTAAATTATTCTCCCTTGTGTGGAGAGGGTGGGAGTGTCATCATGAATGAAGCAGTCCCACGGGCTTAACAATGAGAGTTAAAAGAGGCAAACTGTCATGTGACATAGGCTCCAGCACTTACTCTGAGCGGACGTGGTGATAATGATGATGATGCCTGAGGTAGACAGAATTATCATTCATTATAGTCATCACCTTCCTCTGGGGGCTCATCCTACAGAGGATTTTCCTGTCCATTTTATATCATGCTTGGCCATTTGACTTGCTTCAGCCAAATGAATGTGTGCCACAGACCAGCAGAAGCTCTAAGAGTCATCACATGCTCTTTGTCCTCTACCTGGAGTCTGGCATGTCTCAGTGGAGATTTCACTTTCCCCCTTGGTCCTGGAATGAAGAATACATGGCGCAGAGCCCTAGGTGGCCTGTGACAGACATGTCTAACGAAGGAAAGATTGGTTGTAGCAAGCCACTGAGATCTGAGGGTGGTTTGTTATTACAGCGTAACTCAGTGAAAGCCGACTACTATGATAATAACTTGAAGTTTTGGTGATTTTTCTGTGATGCTCGAGCCCTAGAGATATTGTACTCCCCTGGACAAAAGCTATGTAGGGGAGAAGGTGAATTATACATTGTATTTTGCCTACTGTTATCTAATCAATCAATCAATAACTAGGGTAAGTTCTACAATCTATCCTCAAAACTCACCAATGTGTCCTAATATAAACATTAAAGACCATATTAATAATATTCTTTATTTTATTTTTCAATTACAGTTGATATTAAATATTATATTAGTTTCAGGTATATAACATAGTCATTAGATATTTATGTAACTTATGAAGTGATCCCCTGATAAGTCTAGTACCCACCTGACAACCATAAATAGTTATTACAATACTATTAGTAATATTCTTAAATCTCTCCTCACGTCAATAAGGTAAAAACCATTGATAATATTCAAAAATACTTCCAAAAATTTTTTAAAGGTTTTTTTGAGGAATTGGGGGAGGGGAACAGTGTTGGGGAATCGGAGAAGGGGAACAGACAAGTTGCTGTCCTTTTGTTTTTCAGTCTAGTTGTGGAGGATGTCGCTTCACTGGCCCATGTTGGTATTATCATCATTGCGCCCTTCCCGGGTGAGGCAGATCGGTCGCCTGCCTCTGGACGGCTGCTCATGGCGGTTCTTGGCAGCTCACACCGGCTGCCGGCCACTCATGCTGGCTGCTGGCCACACACGGTAGCCCATGGCAGCCCAGCTCCAGGTCCAGCTGTTGTTCACCATCTTAGCTGTAGAGGGCAGTGTCACTGGCCCTCATGTGGGATCCGAATCGGGGCCCTGCTGCTCAGAGCTGGCGTCCCAATCCAGCTCTTAACCAACGTGCCACTCGGCCAGCCCCAAATTCTGTTTTTCACAATTGATATGGGTGAGCTGTTTGACTAGTTACTGTTACTTGGTGATAAAATGAGAAATATTAAACCCACAAGTACAATACATAGAAATGTATAAAATTTAGATAAATATTGCATATGCAAAGGAAATAACAACATATTTATTTTTAAAATAGGCACAATTTATTGTTGGCAGCACAAAGTCCACAGTAGGGCCAACCGAGTGGCTCAGCTGGTTAAGAGCTCGTTTGGGATGCCAGCTCTGAGCAGTGGAGCCCCAGTTCGCATCCCACATTGAGGGCCAGTGACGCTGCGCTCTCTACAGCTAAGATGATGAACAACAGCTCAACTTGGAGCTGGGCTGCTGTGATCCCCCGCGATGGCGAAGGCTGCAGCGGGGCTGCAGTGCGCTGCTGTGAGCTACGTGAGTGGCTGGCAGCCAGCGTGCATGGCCGGCAGCAGGCAAGAGCTGCCGTGAGCCACCGTGAGCGGCCGTCCAATGACCGGCGACTGATTGCCTCACCCAGGAAGAGCGCAATGATCATACCAACATGGGCCAGTGAAGCGACATCCTCCACAACTAGACTGAAGAACAAACAGCAATTTGTCTACCTGTCTGTTCCCCTTCCCCGATTCTCCAACACTGTTCTCCTCCCCCAATTCCCCAATAAAATCTTAAAAATAAAAAGTCCACAGTAACAAAGGTCATGTGACTTGTAGAAATGATAAAACAACGCAAACTATTGAAACAGATAACACAGACATACAATGAAAAAATCATGCACAAAAGAGGACAGATTGTATGACTCCATTTATATGAAACTCAAAACCAGGCAACATCTATCATAACAGAAAATGGGGATGCGTGGTTCCCCATGCAGGGATACTGCCTGGGAGAGGGCAGGAGGGAGCCTTTTGGGGTGCTGCAGATACTCTGTGTGTTGATCTGAGTGGTGGTTAGACGGGTGTAGATGTATGAGAAAGGTCATTGAGCTGGCCACTTGAGATGTGTGCACTGACTATACCCAAGTTATTCCTCAGTTTAAAAAAAAATTTAAGGTAACCTGCTTTAAGGTTCACTAGTGAAAACTTGCCAGTTTAAATATGGGATATTTTGCAGATGTTGACTGTAAAATTCATAACCCCATTACTAAAACATGTAAGACAAGCATTTAAGTTCAATGGACTCGGCAGCAAATTAATACCCAATAATGGAACCGACAGTCAACGACACTAACTGGGTAGGAGAGGAGAGGTCCTCTCCTGGAGCGCCAACTGACCCATAGGATAGACCTTCATATACATACATCTGAATATTTATCACTTTAAATTTACATATGTAACATGGGGGAGGGTTGATGTCCTTATGTTATTTGGCTTTTTTCTCTCCAAATTATAACCTTTCTCACGGCCATTTAAACTTTTTATGTATGTAGATTTTGCACATTTCCTGATACATTAAACTTTACCATTACTTGCTCCACTTGAGAAAAGGGTGTTTTTTTCCTCACAAGTTAGCTTTTTATATATAGGAAAGCTACTGATTTCTTTATATTAATTGTTACCTTACAGAATTCTTTTATTTTTCAAGATATATTTTTATTCAATCTCTTTGGGCTTTCTTTGTAAATAATCATATCATCTTCAAATAAAACTGGCAAAAACCAGTACACTTAGAAAGCTCTCAGATAATAGTTGTGATATAGGACATCTTTATTTTGCCCCTGACTTAAACGACAATGCTTTGAGCATTTTCCATTAAGCTGGATGCATTTTGGTTGAGATTTAATTTTATCATATTGTGGTAGCACCCACCTATCATCAAAAGCAAAAGTTGACCAAAATTAAAGAGAAATAAACAAATCTACAGTTACAATCAAAGCAAATCCATAATCACCCCTCTCAATAACTGATAGCACAAGCAAAACAATCAGTAAGGACACAGAAGATTTGGACAGCATTAATGGCCAAATTGACGCAGATGACATTTAAAAAACACTTCACCCAGCAACTGCAGAATACGCACTATTTTCAAGTGCCCATGAAACAGTCACCAAAATAGACCATACACTGAGCCATGAAGCCAATCTTAACAAATGTCAATGGATTAAAATCATGCAGACAACGCTTTCTAATTACAGTGGAATTAAAGTTGAAATCAATAACAAAAACTAACTAGTACTATTAAGTGACACATCCCTCAATAACCCATCTGTTGAAGAAAGAGCACAATGGAAATTACAAATATTTTGAATCAAAATAATAACTATAATCTAGCAAAATATGTGGGAAGTAGTTAGAGCAGTGCTTAGAAGGGAATTTACTGTGTAAACCAGAAGAAAACTTGAAACTTAATTATCTGAACTTCCATTTGAAAAGCTAGGAAAACAAGACCAAATTTAACCCATAGGAAGTAGAGGGAAAGAAATACTTAAGAGCAGAAATCAATGAAATGGAGAAACAGACCTAAATAGACAAAAATCAACACGATTAAGCTTTTTTGAAAAGATTACTAAAAATAATATAATGTTAATAAGACTGATGACTAAAAAAAGATAGAAAACACAAATTATCAATAAAAGTTGTGAAAACTTAGCTATCATTATACATCCTGCAGATATAAAAAAAGATAATAGGAGGAAATTAAGAACAACTTTATGTCAATAAATTTGACAGGTTAAAAGAAACGGAGAAATTCTTTGAAAAAAATCAATTTATCAAAATCAATGTAAGAAGGGATATAATATCTGAATATTCTCATATCTAGTAAAGAAATGGAATCTATTATTAAAAACAGTCCCTCTACCAAAACTTCTGATCCAGTTGACTTCACTGGTAAATTCTTTCAAAAATTTCAGGAAGAAATGACACGGAACTTGTATAACTCTGTCACAGAAAGGAGAAAAGGGGGGATATTTCCTCATTTTATGAGGCCAGAATAACTTTGATAACAGAACCTGACAATAACATTACAAGGAAAGAATTATAGACCAATATCCCTGATGGACACAAAAATCCTAAATAGAATATTAGCAAATGAAATCCTGCGATTTATAAAAAGGTTAACACATCATGACCAATGGATTTAATTTTTGAAGAGCTGTTATTAACAGAAAATCACTAGCAAAATAAAGAAGAAAAATCATATGATCATCTGAATAGATGCAAAAAAAGTCACTCAGTGAAATTCAATACCTATTGATGACAAAAACACTCAGTAAAGTGGGAACAAAAGGAAACTTCCTCAGTTTGATAAGGGTATCTCAAAAACATATGGTTAATTAACCAAATCCCAAACTGTAAAATACTGAAGGCTTTTTCCTCTAGGATCAGACAAGAGAAAAATGTTTGCTATTACCATTCATGTCCAACATGGTGCTGGAGGTTCAAGTAGGTGTGAGAATGGAAGAAAAAAGAAATGAAGAGTGGGGCCGGCCGAGTGGCGTGATGGTTAAGAACTCGCTTGGGATGCCAGAGGACCCCGGTTCGGATCCCACATATGAGGGCCAGNGCTTACAGGCCCGGCCGCCGCCTCGCCCCCCTTCCTCTCCCCTCCCTCCGCCCGGCCGTCCTCCTCCTCCTCCTCTCCCCTCCCCCGAGCGAATCACGCGCCCTCCTCTGACACTCGTAGCGGGCCCGAGCTCCGAATTTATCCTTCACGTGACCTGAGGGGGTTGGGTGGTTGGTTGGGGACGGAGGGGGAGAGGGAAAGGAGGGAACGGAATCTGCCGTTGCCCGAGCAACAGGCCCCGCCCATCGGCTTGGGCCGGGGGGCGGGAGGAGGACGTCAGCACGTCAGCCGGGGTTTTGCGTTTTGATTGACAGTTGCTATAGCGACCGGGTCGGTCCGTCGCCATTTTGTTGGTTGGTTTTTTTTTAAACCCTTTCGCTTCCCGCCCGAATAATAATAAAAAGCCCCATTGGAGTGAGGCGGGGGTGGCGGCGGCAAGAGCGGCGGGGGGATCCGGGGAGACTGCTGCCGTCGCTGCTGCTGATCGCGGCTCAGGTCGGGCTCAGGGAGCGGACACCCCGAGCGGGGGGTGCGGGCGCCGCCGCCGCCGCCGCCGCTTCTGCTGCTGCTGTTCCTGCTGCTGCTGTTGGTGCCGCTGCCGCCGCCGGCGAGCGGGCGGGACCGGTGTGAGTGTGAGAGTGTGTGTGTGTGAGTGAGCGTGTGCGAGGGCGAGTGTGCGTGCGTATGTGTGTGTGAGTGTCTGTCTGTCTGTGCGGGGACTCGGGGGCGGGCGGTTCGGGCTCTCCTGGCGGAGGAGCCGCCGCCGCCGCCGCGCCGCCCGGGCCCCGGCGCTTCTCGCTGCGCAGGTTTGGAGCGCGCGCCATTTTGTGAGATTTACAAAATCCTCCTCGGGAAGAAGCCGCCGGGAGCAGTCGCGACTCGGCGCCCGGCCTCGCCGCCGCCGCCGCCCTCCACGCCGGGCCGGGCCGCGCGGCCCCGCCGCCGGGAGTCGGGGTCCGGGGACTGCGGTATTTGCCGGGGAGGGGGCTGTCGCCTCCCCGGCCCCAGGCGCCGCTGGAACCGCGAGCCGGAGAGAGACTGGGAAGGTTGCGGCTCGGCCGCGGAGCCGGGAGCGCCGGGGGCGGAGAGAGGCGACCGGGGCGGCGCTGGCTGCGGAGGCCACGGCTGGAGCGCAGCGGCGGGAGCCGGAGGCTGAGACTCACCGGAGGGAGCGGCGCGAGCGCCCCGCCATCGTCCTGGTGAGTGTCCGGCCCGGCCGCGGCCCCGCCCGGCCGGCGCCCGGCTCCCCCCCGCGGCCTGCAGCCGGGCCCGCGCTGAGGCCGGCCGGGCGGAGGGAGGGACCTGCCATTTTAGGAGGAGGCGCCGCGGCCCGGGGCTGGCCGCCGTGGGAGGGAGGGAGCAGGGGCCGCGGCCTCCCGGGAGCCGGGGCCTGGGGGCCGGAGAAAGCGCCAGACCTTCACTGGTCGCCCGAGCGAAGGGGAGGAGGTTG